TTCAAATGTTTGACAAAATTCACTACTGAAAGTTTTGAGGTTTGGGGCTTTTCTTTTTAAGACCTTGTACTTTTTTGGGTTTTTCGGTTTTTATTAACTGGTCAATCTCTTTACTAGTTGTAGATCTATTCACTTTTTCTGTTTATTCATGAGTCAGTTTGTGTGTTCCCAGGAATTTGTTTTGTCTGGGTTTCCTAATTGTTTGGCATACAATTCATTGTATTCTTAGTGTACTATTTTGCTTATTTTACAATAGATCTTTATCTTCTTAGTGTTTGCCATGGAGATTACAGTTAACATCTTAATTTATAGCACTCTAATTTGAATTACTACCAATTTAGTTTTGATCATATAAAAAATTTGGCCCCTTTATATAAGGAAGGGAAACAAAACTATAGTCATTGTCACATATTACATCTTTATACATGTATGTGCATAGACGTACATCTATATTATTGTTTTAAGGCATAAATTTATTTCCTTTTTTAATTGACATATATTTGATTTACAATATTGTGCTAGTTTCTGGTATACAGCATAATCATTCACTTATACATATATACAATTTCATATTCTTTTCCATTATGGTTTATTACAAGCTATTGAATATAGTTCTCTGTGCTATATAGTGGGTCCTTGTTGTTTGTCTATTTTATATATAGTAGTTAGTATCAGCAAATCACAAGCTAATTTATCTCTCCCCCACCCTTTCCCTTTGGTAACCATAAATTTAAGATGTAAATTTATAATTATTGTTTTAGTAGTTATCTTTTCAATCATGTAACTTTGAATATGTCATTACATTAACTTCTGGCCTCCATGGTTTCTGATGAGAAACTAGCAGTTAATGTTACTGAGAATTCCTTGTACATAATGACTCACTTCTGTCTGCTATTTTCAGAATTCTTTGTCTTTGAACAATTTGATTATAATGTTTCTATGTGTGGATTTCTTTGCATTAATCCTACTTACAATTTGTTGAGATTCTTTGATATATATATATATATATATATATCAAAGAATATATATATATATATATATATATATATTCATGTTTTTTTTAATCAAATTTTGGAAGTTTTCAGCCTTTTTTTCGCTTTTTTCTTTGTCCTTTTCTCTCTTCTCCCTCTTGGACTCTTACTATGTGTATGTTGGTACACTTGATAGTGTCCTGCAGGTCTCTTAAGTTTTGTTAATTTTTCTTCCTTTTTTCTTCTTTCTGCTCCTTGTATTGAGTCATCTCAGTTGACCTGTCTTCAAGATTCTTTCTTCTGCCTGCTCAAATCTGTTTTTGAGCCCCTCTAGTGAATTTTTTGTTTCAGTTACTTCATTTTTCAAGTCCAGAATTATGCTTTGGTTCTTTTTAAATTTTTCTGACTCTGTTGATATCCTCAGTTTGGCGAGACATCATTCTTGCTCTTTCCTTTAGCTTTAGTACATGGTCTTGAGCATATCTGAAACAGTTATTCTTTCTTTAGTATGTCCAGTGTCTGTCTTCGTCAGGGACAGTTTCTATTCTTCTTTTCTATGTTCGTAGGCCATACTTCCTTCTTTGCATCCTTCATAATTTTTAATGAATACTAGGTGTTTTGCATATACAATGTGGTAATTAGATTCTTTCACCTTACCAAGGTTGTTTGTTTTGCTGCTTGTGGTTAGGTGTTTGTCTAGTGCTTTTTCTGAACTAACTTTTGCCATGTGTGGCCACTGACATCTCTTGATTACCTTAGGGGTCAGCTAATGATTCAGAAGAGATTTCCTTAAAGGTTTAGAACAAGGGGGAAAAAAAAAACCTAAAAATCTTTGGCAGTGAGTTCAGTGTATGTTGAAGCATGCCTTCAGTACTCAGCTAGGCAGTTTACAACTCTCCCTTCGAGTTTACTTTCTGCTTATTTACAGCCTAAAGCTCAGCCAGAAGTGAGAACATAGGCCTTTCTCAGGTCTTTGTGAGTATGTATTCCACCTTGGGCATGTACACGTTGGTCTTCTGGTTTCCAAGGAATATGTGGGAGCTTTTCAGATCCAACATTCCCCAAAGCAGCTCACTTCCAGGTCTGTCCTCCGCAGCTTTCTGATGTGTCTGTTGTATGCCCCAGCTGCCATCCCTTGCCTCATCTGGCACCAGCTAATAAATTTGACTTTAAATGTCTTTGACAAATGTCCTGAATAGTTGCCTCTCTGCCCTGGGAGAGATCTGAGTTTGGTAAAATAAAGGTAAGCTCTTTACACAGTCTGTCAGGGAATCAAAAGACAGGCCAAAACAAGCAACCACAGTTGTTTGAGAACAAAGTCCACATTGCCCACTCTAGCACTAGGAACCCAAACCAATAACTTACATTGGCATCTTCAAGACCCTTAACTGAAAATTAGCAACCTTTTTCTTGACTAAGTGCCTGAGTGATTGCTGGAATCCTTTGACTAGTTTGCAGAGTTCAGATAAGGTTGATTCTGACAATTTTTGCCAGGTTATTTGTTGACCATTGGACTTCCCTACTCTGCCATTTTCATTGATGTTTCAGCACATTCTTTAATTTTGACAAACATATTACTTCCATATTTTTTGAGAATGACCATATTCCTCTTATTTACAGAAGTCATTCACGTATTAAGATAATTTGTGTCCAGTTTGCCACAGAACCATATCACATTTAAGAGGAAAAGAATTCTGGCAATTGAACCCTGTAGATCTGATGTCAACCGTGTTAAAGATTCACCAGTTCACCCACAGTCCTGTAAAAAAAAATTATTTTTCTCTGCAAGTCAGAGAGATAAAAGGTCATTAACTGAGTATGGGAGATTAATGTTCTAGCATTCAGGTGTCTAGTGGAAATATGATATTAAATGTGCTTAAAAAAAAGTCAACATATTTCAGAGTCTTTACCTTTAAAACCACAATTTACTATATTTATTTTGTAGTTATGTGGATGTTTTCCTTATAGTTTATCAGATCAGTAGGATTGTAGCAGTTGTTCCCACTGCCTTCCCCAAAGCTGTAGCCCCTGTGAAGTGACTCAGCCCAAATCTACTAACTAAATGTAAAGAACCACCTTAATTCTGATGCAACACTTTCTGGGTTTGAATTCTGTTTCCATATATTGTCCAACAGTATGAATTTGAGCAAATTACTTAACCTCTCTGCCTCACTTAACACATAAGTTTAGCAAGCCCATTTTACTTATCCCATAGCTTTGTTATGAGTGTAAAATAAGCTAAGGTTCATTAAGTAATTAACTAAATTTAATACATAACACAAATTTGAGGTGCATCTTGTCTAGAACGTGTAGGTTTTTGTTTTGTTTTTTAGGTTTTGGGGGAGGCAGGTAATTATGTTTGTTTGTTTGTCTGTTTGTTTATTTATTTATTCACTTTTTAGAGGAGATACTGGGGATTGAACCCAGGACCTTCTGCATGCTAAGCATGCGCTCTACCACTAGAAATCTCTGAGTTTTTCAGTTCTGTCCACTTAGGAGATGCTTATTGGTAAAATAAACCTACTGGGCAGATTCTCAAGAGGAAGATAGTCAGGTAATATTTGTATGTAGCCTGAGAGACCCATTCCTAAGTCAGGAGAGAGCTGTACCTACAGCTGGATGCAAAGTGAAAACATGAGGTTGGGGAACAGCATCCTATTGTGTGATGATTTGGGGAACCAGGAGGATGGGCCAAAATAGTGGGCTGTGAAGCAAAAAGATTGGAAAAGATAGATGTTGAAGATATTTGGGAGTTACTGAAGGGTTTGAAATAGGAGAGCCATCTGGCCACATTTACATTTAGAGTCTACACTGTGGCAGAAAAAAATGGAGGACTGGGGTCAGCTTGGCAACACTGGAAGAAGGGAAATGTCTTAGGTGACTGTTAGTCATTTTTAAGTAAGTCATAGATGTTCCATAATGAGCATGTATTAATTTTGTTATATAAGCAAATACATAAAGCTCTTATTTTGTAAGAAACCTGCTTCTGGAGTTTCTCTATGATATAGTCCCTATTTAATAAAATCTAAAATTCAAGTCCCAATTAGAGAATGAATATTCATTTGACACTTGACCTCTTTGCTCAACAAAATCTCCATCACAGAGTTTCAGTAAATAATCATCCTTTTCTACATGTTACCTGTCATTTAAGGAACATATCAACTCCATTTAGCAAATTAGAATGAAAATTATAACCATATTACTTGCAAAACTTACTCTGCTAATTTTATAGCTCCTCAGCCCTCCACAAGTCAGGAAAATATTCACACCTAAGTTGAAACTTTAAAGTAGAATGGTGGCCTGGAGCAACAAGCCCCAGAAAATTGGTAATGAAAGTAATGGTTTATAAAAGAGAGCTTGACAGACTAATTATAGATCACTTTGTCTCTCTCCAGCTGTATTTCTTTAACAGCTATTTAGTCCCAGGTACAGACTTTTGTTTGTTTTTTTTTTTAGTCATTTGAAATTTTTAGTTTAAAGTAGTTTAAAGAATTAATTGGATAAATATTCAGCTATTAGAACAAGATAAAATTTAATAAGCAACTTTATTATCATTGTGCCCCACTTAATTATGTCAGTTATTGGATTAAATTTTAAACTTAGTGGAATCAAGTTTTATACCTAACTTAACATTGTGTTCTTTGTTATTGTCAGGTATTTTATACTGGCCATGTAAAATGATGTTCTCAGAGTTTACCTGTATGCACAGGATTACCTAAAATGCAATTTTAACATCTGCCTAATCTGAAGTACTCTTAAACAACTACCATGACCTTTTAAATGTATTTAAACTATGTTAGTAATGCATAAATAGGGGGCAGATTTATTTATGCAAACCAGACTGTGGAAACTGGACACCACTGAAAATACTCTTTAAAGTACTTTTTTTAAAAAAGGACAATATACTTATTTCTAATAATTATTTTTGATAAACACAAATTTAACTGCCTACAAATAGGCATACTTTTTGACATGTGAAACTGAGATTCCATAGGTTGTTTCTCCCTGGTAAATTCAATATAAATAACAATGAAGAAACCACATATGGTAAGCCTGGATTCAGAAATTGGCTTTAAGATTCTCAAATAAATAAAGACCTTCTTTGAAGGCGCACGGATGTATTAATTTTTAATTTGTTTCTTTTTGATCTCCTAATTACTGAAAAAGATTTATTGGTTAATTTTAGGAAGGCAAGTGTTTGGAAAGTTTTGCCAAATACTGTCTTCTTTAAATGAATGTATGGTAATGAAAAGTTAAGAGGAGAGCCAAATTAGATTGAATAATTGTTCAGTCATGTGGGTCAAGCTAGTTGCATAGCCTGGTTGTTAGACTGATTGCTCAAATTACATTGCCTGGGGTCCTGCACTTGGTTGGCTGTCTTCTCAGATCTTAACAAGGTTCTGGGAATTTCTTTTTCTGACAAAGTTTGCTTTGTGTATTTCCCCTCCCCCCCACCTCCAGGATGCTTCATCTGCAGACATTAGAAAAGCGTATCGTAAGCTTTCACTAACTTTGCATCCAGACAAGAATAAAGATGAAAATGCAGAAACTCAGTTTAGACAAGTAAGTGAAATATGCTGTTATTATATATATTTTGTGATAAATTTATAAATAAATGTTTATGGTAGAAATAGTAACCTATATGTAGAATTTCATTTGAAGTATGATTGTAGTTTAGAAATACAATGTATATATGTTTATTCAATTTTTTACAAAATATGTCTTTACCAACATTTTTTATATTAGAATCTAAATTCTTGGAGAGTCATAATTGTCATAATTTTCTGGTCTAAATTACAATTTTGGTTTTTAAAAAGCACATGTTAAGATAATAATTATGACTTTGTGCATCTTTCACACAGATTTATTTTAGTTTCAAGCATTTTTTAACCTCTTAAGTTGCTACCGAAACCATAAAACATTAACTTACAATTAAGACCTTATCTGTTCATTGTGTATATGAGCACAGAGGGTTTTTTGGCATGTGCATTATAGTGTGTTTATCTTCCTAAGTGATTTCTTATAGTTGAGAGTATTTTTATTTTAAAGTAATGCTTCTATTTTAGTTGGTGGCCATTTATGAAGTTTTAAAGGATGATGAACGAAGGCAGAGGTGAGTGTTCACCTGCTTTTAAATTAAGATGTTATACTTTGATGTCTCAGTTTATAAAGGATTGTCTCATTAAACATTTATTTATTATAAGTTAGTATTTTATTTTCGTTCCTTCCAAGAAATGCATTGTTTTTAAAATGTATCTTTAGGGCAGAGTTAATTTCTGTTGACAATAATCTCTAGGTTAATTCAGTACTTCTAGACTTCAGGATCATGGCTCTTCATTAGATAAGATTTTTAACATGAGTATCTATGCCTTGGGAAATACAAATACCACTTGACTTCAAACAAATGCCTATTCATTTTTGAGATATCAGTAATTGCTCCTATCTGTGCTTGGGGGTCTTTTTTCTCCCCTCTATTTCTTAAATGTTTTAGAATTAGGCAGTTAATAATATTCACGCTTGGTGTTTCCTCACTCTCAAAATAATAAACCCAATCTGGGAGTGGAAGAACAGACTTATGTTAAGTCTGTAGAAAACACGAGTAGAAGAAAAATACTTGCTTTTTTCTATTTCTTTTGCCTCTCTCCCCTTACTCTGCTCCAGTGAGTCGGCATTTAGGGTTAAACGTCAGAGAGGAGGCAAACCCCTCACTCGTGATTTCTCTGGGCCTTTCAGAAGAGCAGTCATGTTTATACCGTGGTTTATATGCTAGAGACTTAAGGGGACATTGTGGAGAGACCTCTTTCCTCTGTTCTTCAGAATGTGTGGAATGTGGACACGACTGGGACAGGTTTCAGAGTTTTTTAAGTCAGACCCATAGTTAAAAATACATTTTGCGTCATACTTGAGGACACACACACACACAACTGAAACAAAAATTTTACATAACACTTCTTAGCGTGTGTGAAACAGACTGACATTTTCTGTTCCAGGCTAGTCTAGACGACTCTTTCCTTTTTAAAAACAGTGCTGATTGTGGTCCACTAAATTGATTTCATGAGACACTAGTGGGCTACAATCTGCAGTTTGAAAATACTGCTCTACAGTAAAAGTGTGCCTTTAAAGAAAAAAGGAAGTATTTGAGATTTTAAGGTAAAGCCAGCCTATATATCTGTATCTCTCTATGGAGGCTAATAAATCTTAAAGAGAACTCCCAAAATTATGCATCGTGACACTCTGAATCTCTTCAAATGTATGATCTGGAATTTTCCTATATGCTGAAATGTTAGCGACCACTCTTGGTTCTCATCTTAACCCTTTAACTTGAATACCTCAGTTTGTCAGATTGCAAAGCAAGGACTCAGGATATTCTCTTGAAGTGTTCTTTGCTTTATAACAAGGGCTGGCATTGGTCCAGATACCATAGCAGACATTCCTCTGGTTTGAGATAATCCATAGTGTTGAAAGAGTCCTAGAAGTGTGTTGAAAGAAGTGTTGGTCATTCTGTGCATATTTTCTAGTTGGTTTCTCTCACTGAGCCCCTAGTTTTGTTTCACACATCAAGAATGTGTAGCTTTATTTAGTCTGCCTACATCTTTGGCATCAGATTTTGCCTTTTTGTTTGTTGTTACTTTAAGTCAGTAAACTTTGTAACAATTTCTTTCAATTACCGAAATTATTTCTATCTTTTCAGAACAAATCACTTCTCTTGTATAAATTGTTTCTTCATTAACATAGACTCATCTCACATTTTCTTTTTAGGATTAGTTCCCTTTGCGTTTTAGTGTTAGTAGAAAAAAAATGGATCTGACAGTTACACAAACAGCTGAGTATTTATATCCCTTGAGGCACAAGTAAATCTTTGGTAACTGGTTTTCCTTGAGGCAAAAGTCTTAACTAATCAAGCTGAGAATCACTCCTCTTAAAGCTTGTGCCTGAGGCCAGGTGACCTATGAGTATTTAAACATATAGGAGAAATGCACCTCTACAGACAATTACCTAATGTTTGTAATTCCTTTAGGGACAAAAAAAAAAAGCATAGTCAGTTTTACCTTCTGAAAGAAGACTGTCTTATACTGATATTAAAAAGTGCTCTTTGGTATCATAATTATTTATTATAAATATTCATTAAATAAGTGCTTTTAAATGTGTAACCTTCCAGGAATTTGCATTTTGGAAAATTGTGATAGACGTGTTTATCTGCTTATTTCATTTACAAATAATTATATTTTCACTGAAATCAGGTGCATTAAAATTTTTTGTGGTAGAAAGGGAATAGCAGTAAAATTGATGAAATAACAAACTGGGTAATCTACTTTTTTTTTTAAGGAATAGGCAAAATTTTATTTTTTAAAGCAGACTTACTTAGGTATAGTTTGCCTACCATAGAAGTTACCTATTTTCAGTGTACAGTTCATGATTTTTAGTAAATTTACAGAGTTGTACAAACCACCACAATCCAGTTTTAGAACATTTCTGTCACCTCAAAACATTCCCTTAAGCCTGTTTTGCAGGCACTTCCCACTCTGATCCCACCCCTAGGCAATCACTGATCTCCTTTCTGTGTCTGTAAATTTGCTTTTCTGTACATTTCATATTAATGAAATCATCTAATATATATAATCTTTTGCATCTGGCTTCCTTCTATTATCATAATGTTTCTGAGGTACATGCATATGATAACATATACTAGTAGTCCATTCTTTTTTAACTGCTAAATAGTATTCCACACACCACTGATGTTTATCCATTCACCAACTGATAGACCTTTAGGTCGTTTCCACCTTTTGGCTATAATGAACAATGCTGCTGTGAATATTCACATAAAAGTCTCTGAACAGATGTTTTTTATTTCTCTGGGGTAGATTCCTAGGAGTGCAATTGTGAATAAATTTTTAAGCCATTTTTGCCTCCCAAAGGCATAGATGATAGCATGAAATAAGTTCCTGGTTGGCGTAAGGAAGTCTAGCATAGAAGCCTTTTCTAAACTCCTTAGGTAACTTGCTTACTTTAGGAACTAGCAGCTCAGCTGTGTTCCCACATAAATTTCTATACAAGTGCCCTGAGTATTAGATGGGATAAAGTTCTGAGTAGATACTAATCACTTCAAATACACACTAGATTGTGCTTAAGTAATTTTAGGATATTTACTTTCATTTAAAATCTATTATACAATTTTAACCAGTATTCTTTTGCTAACCTGCTTATACAACTTAAAAAAAATTTTGTCTGTTTTATGGTACTGTATTTGTAAAAAGCTAAAAGTGTTTTTTTAGTTTACTAAGTAAAGTCATGTTTTATTTACAAATCCAATGAAAAGTATAGTTATCGCAGCCTCAATCTGCTAAACTTTTACAAATCTACTACCTCCTTATTGTAAATTTGATTACAGATGTGTTTGAATAAAAATAAATATTAATCTGAGAATATGAAATCTACCTTAGTACCTTCCCTAATTAGGCAATATTATAAGACACTTATTATATACAATATGTAAAGTGCTGTGTACCACAATTTTTGGCATATATATACATATTTTATAAGGGGGAGTAAGATCAATTAATTTAGACTTGTTTCCTGTTAATGGTCTTTGTACAGTTTTTACTCTAAGATTCAAAATGTGATCTAAATAGATGTTATTATTCTTTAATCTAAAAATTCAAACTTTTTACAATGGGAGATTCACAGTTTAGGCAAATGCTAGAATTATTTCAAAAGTCATTTTCATAATGTGCATGTTTTCTATTTTAATTTCATAGCTACTATTTTATATTGCAAAGCATGCTAATTTTAATTTACATGAATTTTTCCTTGTAATTTAAACATTTTTAGATTTATTTATTGGCTAAATATATTTGATGAATTACGGATTATAGAACTCACTAATGATTATGTAACCATTATTATGTTCAGCATGTACATTTTAAGAAAATCAAATGAAGTAAACATGTATTAGACCATATGTAGAAATGTGTAGAATACTTTAATCTCTAGGATAAGGCCTTTATAGTTCCATATGATTTTTTTACCTTAGTGATATTCTCATTGTAGAAATTTACTTTTGCATTTTCTTATATATGTTGATACATATATACATTCTTAATCTGGTTTTAACAGACTGTTGAGAGTAGTTTGGGCTTAATTTTTCTAAGTGTTAAGGGTTATATATAGAAAAAGCATAACATAGTGATTATCTTAAATTTTATGTGTTGTCAACACATTTTTTTCCTCAAATAACTTATGAATATGGTTTCTGTGTATATTTTAAGAAATATCTTTATTTTTTTCAGTATTTCAGGAAAGCAGTGATTTATCTTTTAACAGCATATATTCTAAAAAGTGAACTATAATAGAAGCTATCTTCCCTTAAAATGGCCAGCCGTGTGCGCCATAATGTTCATTGATAGTAAAATCAATAGAGCATTGATTCTAAGCTTAATCCTCGGAGACTGTTGTTTACAGAGTGGCAGACAGCCTAGCAAATATCTAGTCTTGTTTAATGTGTTCAGTGCATGAGGTTTTGCTGTCTTGAATTTAGCTGTGCACTAAATACAATTTATATGTTGGGTAGAAAATAGTAGCTGTTAACAGATACATAGCATTTCAACAATGATGGTGATAAAATTATTTGATATGAGATTCATAGCTATGAGTTCAGCTGGGTATTCTTCCAATACACTTCAGATCTAAAACAAATTTAACACTTAGTAATGCTCTTAGGGAATTGTCGCTTCTTTCTTAGATGGTCTTTATTTAATTAGCCACACTTTTTACTTGAAGTTATTTCATGGGGGAGATTAGCTGAAAATACTTATTTTTATATTCTCCCTTTTTGCCCTCAACAAATCTGAAGTAGAATGTAGATTTAGAATAAACTCAGGACTTCACTGGACTTCATTCAAATGTTGTAATCTTCCATTATACCACCTGAAGCCTTTTTGCCAATCCACTTGTAATTTAAAATGAGTCACTTTTTACAGAGATAAAGTTGAATGTAAATTTTCTAGGACAGGAATAATAGATTTGATGAAATCATGTTGTTATAGCTTGATAATAGTGTTCAAGAATTGCTATATAAATATTGAAAAAAAATTTAACATCAAGCTTTGGTCCAGCTACTATACAACCATATTTTAATTTGCAGATTTCTTACATACTATACAATTTGCCCTTAAGAGTTTAGTACCACTCATGTCCTTTGCTTTGAGCATTGGTTATTCTGACTATTATTAATCTGAGTTAATCCTGAAAGTCAGATTTTCTAATAAAGTATTTTTTAAATTTATAACCAATATTTTTTTTTACTGAGAAAAGAAGTTGCCTGTAATAAATCCTCTGCTGTATTTTTTTAAGCATATCTCCAAGGTATCAATTTAATAACTATCAAAGTAGCTACTGCAGTTGTTGCATTTAAATTGATTTACATGTCAAGACTGGCAGTTTAGCAGCTGCGCTATTATTCCTAGATCGGTCAATTTACTTGAGAAAAACCTACTACTGAGTTCTGCTGACCTGCCTGACAATATAGGCCCTATTTCTATTCCTGTAATTAGGCCTGCGACTAACTCAGAATATTTTTAATTAAAATATTTTGGTCAATGTGTTGCACCAAATTAGGCCTTTCAGTGAAAATTTAATTCTGGAAACAGTGTGATTAGAATATTTAATGAGTTGTGTTCAACCCAAGATTAACAGGTTGTGTGTTTTGAACATAGTGTTTGTGTGTCATGGTTTTGAGTTTTACAATCATAAATGTTACTCCTGATTTTTAACCTTAAAAATATTTGTCTCAGTAACTGAGGGGTAAATTTAAATTTTGTTGAAATTTTATTCTAAAGAAAGCTGATTCAAAATGCATTACTAGGAAGGCTGTTCTTAGTTATGTTCTTCCTTCCAGCGGAGCCAAAAAAATGAGGAAATTGCCACTTAAATGTTTACAAATAAATAGTTTTATTGAGAAATTGGTTGTTTCCACATTGTCTTCTAATTTGGGAATTCTTTATTCTCTAAAGGAATGTGAGCAACATAAAATTAAAAGGCGTTCATTTTATAGGCTTTTATGCCATTAAAAGACTTTGATTAAATAATAAATATTTCAACCTTGAACTCTTGTACAAGGGTAGAAACAAAAGCACTGACTAGAAAATTTATCCTGAATTTGATTCAATTAATATGTAATTCATAGTAGCAAACAGAGCTCTTATCTTGGCTTTCTCCCATTGAGATGCCTCCTTTTGTTGCTGACTTACTTACATGGTGGGGTCTGGCTGCAGCCTGGGATGGAGGGAGGCCTGACTGTATGACTCCTGCAGTTTAGATTTCGTTCCAGGACTCACATCACTGGGGTGCTGCGAAAACACAAGGCCTGGTATCCACAGTATATTACTGTCTACCTTCCCGAAGGTTGTCTGTGACTGGACCTACATAGTGTTTTGATTTATAGGCCATTGTAATGCTGATAATCTACATAAATGTTACCTATTTTGGAGAAATTCTTTTCTCTTTCCTCTTTTTAAGTTTAGGTAAAAACTAAAGGGTTTTTTTTTGGTTTTTATTTTAAACTCCCCATGAATATTATATTTGTTGCTGTAGGTATGATGATATTCTGATCAATGGACTTCCAGATTGGCGACAGCCTGTGTTCTACTACAGGCGGGTGAGAAAAATGAGCAATGCTGAGCTGGCATTACTTTTGTTCATTATTCTCACAGTGGGTCATTATGCTGTGGTTTGGTCAATCTACCTGGAAAAACAACTGGTAAGTATTGGTAATAAATCAAATGACCTAGTCTCCTTAATTTCATATAGAATTCCAGGCATTTATTTTTCACTGATGAAAATTTCAACTTTTCTTTATCTACTCCTTATTCTAATTTTTTGTACTCGAAGTGTTTAGTATTTGATGTGTTTCTAAGTCAAGGACCTATGACATAAGAAAATATGCTACTTTTTTAAAATGCAGCATTTGAGCTTGTCATTAAATTTTGTGAAGGCTCAAATATATAGCTGAAAATTAGAAGGTAGAGCCATGCTTTCTTAATTGTCACCTTTCAAATAGACACATTTTTCTGTAAAATGATTTTAGAAATTTTTGTGTCACAGGCCCTTATATAAAGAACATTTATTTTAAAAGCTTTTAACTAAGACTTGAAATGAGTATAATTTTTTAATTTCAGATATCAGTTGGTTAAAATATTTATTACTTTTTTTAGTCTAATATACTACTACATAGATGATCCTGCTATGTACTTTTATTTATATGCTAAAGATAAACATATTTATCAGTATTCATGAATTAGCATCTGTTTACTCATTCTTTTTGAAGTGACATTATTAAAGTTGGCTGAATGAGAAAAAGTAAGTTGAATGCTTTCTCTTAGAAAACTTTGATTGCTATGGAGATACACATGACTGACAGTGCTGAACTTCATGTGTGTTTAAGGACTGGATACCATGGCAACAGTTATTGTTAAAGATTGATGATTTTACTTAATCATGTTGGACCCTACATACATTTGCATAAATGTTCTTCTCTAATGTTTACCCTTCACAGAAGACTCTTGATAACATTTGAAGAGTACATGTTAATGATAACCTGTAACCATAATTTTTTCCACATTAAGGATGAACTGCTTAGTAGAAAAAGGAGAGAAAAGAAAAAAAAGACAGGCGGCAAGACTGTGGATGTATCAAAACTTGGTGCTCCGGAAAAAAATGAAAGGTGAGAGCATATAAAAACATTTTATACTTTGAAACTGTTTTTAAAGACTGAAACTGTTTTAAAATATGTCTTTAACATGATTCAACTTCACACATATATCCGCTTCAGATATGCTGTCATTTACATCTGCATTCTGTTTATAAAAGACTAATAACGTTTAGTTATTAGTTTATGAAACAAATTCTGATCTTAAGCAAAAGTTAAACAGGTTTTTTCCCCCTTGTTAAGTATTAATACATACTTAAATAATTAAACCCCCAAATTCTTGTTCAAAATTTTTATACTGAACTTTAGAGACAAAGTATTACCAGAAGAATCTGTCACTTTAGTGTTTAGCTCAGGAGTGACAATATGTAGAGAGAGTGATACGCTGTACACTCAAAGAGATACACCATTTCTTCTATTGATTCATAGAAAGAAATAAAGGGTTTAAATAGTTCACACAGCAGGCCAGGAACTGGATCAATGTGAGATGAAGATCAGAGACTATTCTGCCTGTCTTCTGTTCTGATGACATCAGTGAGTAATGCTTCAGTGAACTGCAAATGACATTAATTTTTATGTATTGGTTTGTTTATGCTACAGTCTTCATATCTGCTTGTCAGCACTTGGGAGCACTCTGATGCTGTTCAGTCTTTTATAGCTGAAGTAATCATAAGGTCTAAGAATTCATTTTGCCAATCTGATGAAAAGTCCAGGTCTGAAAGAGGGCTTTTGTTTCTTTATCTTTATAACTTGATTACGCATCCCCTTCCCCAAAATCTTAGCCTAGATTCTCTTACTTACTATACATAATTGCATTTGCTGGACTAATATGTTTTGTGATAGGATACGTCAGATTAAGTGATAACTGTCATAAATATTTCACTGAAAAACTTCATTTTTTAAATTGAAATAGCCATTTGAAACAGAATTCAGGATCTTTATAAAAATATTTTGTTTCTCAACTTTCTATATTTTGCTTCGTTTTTGCATTTTGTTTTCCATTTAGATTACTGATGAAACCACAATGGCATGATTTGCTCCCGTGCAAGCTGGGAATTTGGTTTTGCCTTACACTAAAAGCATTGCCTCATCTAATCCAGGTAAGATGTACCTCTTTCATATAATACTAGATGCTTTCATTTTAATTATTCATGAAATAATTTATGCCCATGTCTGCTATCTGAATGCTGAATATACAGTTGATGCTTCATAATGCTGATTGAATTGAATAGTATTTTTAGAAGTATAAACCTAATTTAGAATAGTTCTAAAATTATTTAGGTATCTATTCCTGTATCTCTTATAATGCTTTTAGAACACCTTAGAATTCTAAGACACTGAAAAACAAAAAGGAAAAAAACAATACTATCTTTAGGACAGACATAAAAGCAATGAAAATTTTATCCACTATTGTCCTTTAAGGCATATCTAATAAAAAAGAACGAGACTCAAATATGTCACCATTATTTTAATAGCATTTAAGTACATAGTATGGGAGAAAAAGGTTTACCCATGAGCATTTGTATAATTAAGCAAAAATACATGGAGCTTTATATTTTATTTGCAACTTTAAGAGGAGTGAGGATATTTTGTCTTGTAATAGTAATCAGTTTCTGTTGATAGTTGTGATCAAACAATAAAAAATTATATGGCAGTTTCTCTTATTTTTTTATATTTAGAATGCCAGGATATATTTTATTGCTTTGCTAATTTTAATTATTGCATCTGGTTAGAAAATTTCCAACACATAAACATATTTGAAAGAATATATAATAGTTTTGATGTACGAATTTTGAGGTTCTTTGAGGTTGTAATTTTGGAGAGGAAATACTTCATTTCAGAAAACAGAGCAAGAGAGAAGGATAATTTCTAATCAGTCCTACCCTCTTTTTTTTCATATAACAGAGCTGTTATTCCTAATCATTTAAGGAAATGAATGACTCAAACTTCTGTATTTTATTCCTCTTTTTTCCTCTAATAATGAAAATATTATATTTGAGGGGAAAATGAACTAAAAATTATGAGTGTTTCTTTCTAGCCTTTGAGAAATTATTCATCAGTGCTTTAATCAAAATAGTTTATCTTAATTGTTATTGCTTATAGAATCATATCTTGTTTGCAGTTAATAGAGACAGTTAAAACATTTTGGTAATTAAAAACCTTTGTTTTTGAGTTGTTTAGTATACTGTTTATTTGAGTAAAAATCCACAATCCTTGTATGCTCTGTAAGACTTAAGAGAGAGGGGAAAGTGTATTTATTATACTGGTATATGTGAGCGAAGATGTGACAGAAACATATTTTAGGACGTTTTCTTATGTTTTTAAGAATAATTATTTTTTGCTACCTTTAGAATCTATGCAATAGGAAACCAGAGTATAGATAAATTTAAAATATAATCGTGCGACAGTATACATAAAATATCACATAAAATGTCAGTCTGAAACACTTCTTTATAATTTTAATCTAAGTCATTTGAAACAAAGTTTATTTGGTAAAATTAACATATTTCTTGGTTAACATGCAGAGCAGGTTGCAAAAATAGAATCAATTTATTAAAATGGATTAGATCTGCAAGTTATTACTTTAAGTGTTTTGCCTCATCACAAATTTGCAGAAGACTTACAGGAATTTTACAAAAACTTTTTAGCCTCTTCAGAAACTGCTTTCTTAAACTATTGAATCGATTTGAATTTTAAAGTTTTGCTCTTCACCAACAGAATAATATAATATAGTAGACTCTGATACAAATTGTAATAGTGAAAGTATTTTTAGATCAATAAATGTATAGCTTATGCTTTCACAGGCATCAGTACTTACTGAATGGTTACTGTTAGGATTAGATTTTGTCTGCTTTTTTCCTCCCAACCTGCTGTGACCTTTGTATTAGTTAATCATTCATAAAATTGTGTGATGTAAATACATATACCTTGTCTACAACACTGAAATTTTTATGACACTTCTATGAGATCTTCTTAAATAAAGTTTTTAAGAAATTCCGAAGGAGCCCTTTTTACCTGAAGCAGTCTGAATTGGTAACTATACAGTGGTGATTAAAAAAAAAAAAAAAGTCCTACCAGAGCCCTCAGTGTAAAAAGTGATACATATGACCTTAAACATTTTAAGCATGTGCTTTTTTACATTTTTTCACCACTCTTGTGATTTAAGGCCTTTGTTTTATTTTAAAGTAGGAGTCCTTTCTTGCATAAACCATACCTATCATCTTGGTTTCTTTAAGGACAAGTTTCCAGGTGATTTCTTTAGAGAAGAGTTAAACTACACTCTTATGAAGCAATGTAATTATATAAGCCGTAGAGAGTTTTGTGATGTCCCTCAGTCTTGTATCATGGACTTAGGTACATCTGGTGAACAGCTCTTTTAGCCACTCTTTCATTGAGCCTTCATTGGTTTTCATAGAAAATTTGCTACTCAGTTTTCATCTTTTTTTTATAACATTTAATTGAATCATAATTACAAGAATCACTGAAACACATGGGTTTCAGAGCTAATACAGTGAGCTCATATAAGCATAGTTAAACAAGTATCAGTTAAGGGAGTTTTACTTCTGTGTGTGAATCCCTTGAGTTTCATGAAAAGTTCATTAAAATTGAGCACCACGCATTCTGTGTAAGCATATAGCTGTTGGGTAAGACAGAGGGTGGTCCAAGCTGACAGTGGGAGACCCGGATACTTGGAGCAAATGGCCTTCACACTAGCAGAACCTGTTCCCAAATTTTCTCCTTGTCTTCCCAACAGCTCTTCATCTCCAGCTCCCCCTGACCCCCATTCTCCCTCTAAATACCCATCCCTTTATTATACTTCACATGCTTACGTGGTGGGTTATCCAGCAGATTTGGAAAAGTGGCAGTTCTGGGTCAGTTTATACTCCAAAGTTCACTGTGTATTACTTAGCATCTAAGGCCCTAAGAAAATTTCTTGTTGCCTAGTTACTTTACCTAAATTGTTTTCTATCCCTCCCCCCCAAATTACAAATGAGAATAATTATAGCAATATTTGATGTTTAAAGCTTCTACTAGTTATGTTTTGAAAAACAGCTCAGCATGTTCAATAAAATGTGTTAAATGCTGTATCAGAGGACAGTGGAAGAGGCTGTAGAGGTGAACATGCCTGCTTGGACCTTGCAGTCAGGCAGAGGTGGTGTCACATGAATTAAAATAATGGTGACACAATACGGTATAAGCTTCACACATGTGGTATAAACAGTGACTCCTGGAGATGTTCAGAGAAGTAAGATTGTCTCTATTTAGGAAAACCAAGGAAAACTAAAAAGAGGAGCCACTTGAATGGAGTCTTGAAAGATGAGTAGACACTTGACAGTGAAGCTCCCACTCTGTGTACTAGGGAGTGTACAGAAATAGTGTCATAGATGCGGTAGTTCCCACACAGTCATAAAGAACCCTGAGGAAAGCATTGTACAACTGCTTGTTTTTAAAAAATAAAATGCCACATAGCCCATTACTGTCATCTATGACTATATCCCAGGTCTCTAGACTCTGAATATAGCCATTTAGGAATTTATACTCTAACAGATAAATCTGACAAACCTGTTAAAAGGACATTTAGACAGGAACGTGTTTCCATAACACACATCTGTCAAAGATGTGTATACATTCATTGTTAGGAATGGGAGAGTTTAAGTGCATCATGGGCATCAAATACTCACAGTGGTTCTGTGATCGGGCAGGGAAGAGGTAAAAGTATTTCTTTGGTAGTTCCCCCTTGCTTTTTGAGAAGGTCTTTATTACCTCCAGCCCTGGGTTTTGTTCCTTTCCTTTTCTCCAAAAAAGATAATAGGAGGAATTGTAAGGCTTGGTAGATTAGAAGGAGAATGAGGCCAATCACTGAAAACGACTATAATTTGATACATGTGAAATATTTGATGTTACGTTAATCTCAGACATTTCCTAGACTGGAAGATCTTCGAGGAAATTTGTATGTATGCACTGTATTTAGCAAAATGTGTGCCTCCATATCATTCATGTACCCACGTGGGCAGAAAAGTAAAAAATCAAATGAGAAACCAAAGAAAAAGAATACGGGGAGTATTTCTAAATGAGAGAGCATTAGAGAGGAGAAAATGCATGACTGAATGCTGAGGAGGTAGGAGAACTTGATAAGACTATTTCGATCGCGAGAAAAGCAGGTGGAATGATCAACAGAAGAGTCGGAATATGAATTAGAATTTAACAAGGAACTTGGCCTGTATCAGGAATGGCATTGTGTACTTTGAGGCTGGAATTTAATTTTAATGTTAAAAATATGGCCCCAGTGACACTTTACTATCTTACCGGTCTATTTCTGTTCTCATGACAGTTTTGAAGGGAGGATGCATTCTCTTGGAATCTGACTAAACCAGTCTTCCGTGTTGACTATATGCAGCCTATAACCCCAAGAAATTTTTCTAACCTCCAAAATGCCCTTCTTGATATTTTTTAAGTTGACTGTATGTGTTCTGAAACATGTTCGTAGCCATGAAAGTAGCAAACACCTGATGAAATATAACCAAGGCTATGTGCATATTTTCATTTTAACTCTTGTAACTTAGTTTATTTTTGTGACTGCCTGTTTGTATTGGAGCTTCATATATTTGGGTCCATAATAATTTAGATTGTTAATACCATTAACTTCTCATACAAGGTCAGTAGGTGCTAAATATCCCACATGATCAGCAATCTAATTCATAG